TAAATGTTTAATATGCTTCATTAACAGCCCTTCCCATTTGAGATCACGTAATGATTATATTATCGATATTATTGCTGATATTTTAAAATGGAAAATATTCTTTGCTAGTTGCAATCATTCACACACGTGTGTTGAAAATAACATTCATCGAATGCATTCTGTGTATCTAGATAAATTGCTTTATCAGACTTTGTACAACGAACAGGTAGTAATCCCATATATTGTACAGTGCTGCGTGGGCTGCAGGCGAAGCATTGCTAATTAATAATTAAAATGTATAACACGTATTAATTTAATGTATTGATTATTAATCTATCCACAAATAGACTGAAATATCGACTCTGGAGTGTAATTAACTAGATTCAAGTTCAACACACCATTTGAGAATATTGATTTGGCATCGCTTTACAACGTATCATAGATAGCTTGAAGTAGGACTAATAAAGAGATAGAAGAAGTCGTTATAAAAACAATATTTTATTATTTTAGTTATATTATATTTATCAATTATATTTGATTTATAGTCTAACGTATTTATTTTTATTTACAGGATACTGCTGAGTTGCAACTAGAGAAACTCAAAGCTGAAGGTATGTTTTATGAAAATGATATGTAAAATGTACTACAGCAAACAAAATTGAACTTTTGGTTAATGAAAAAGAAATAAGTGCTTGAATTAGATATAAAAAAGGTTGCAATCATATCAATAAAGTCAAGTAATTTCGCCAATTAATACTTTTGACGAATAAAAATATCGTAACCCACTTCAAATATCCATATTTCACCATCCAATTGCATACCAATATATGTATGATATATTCGTATGGAATTCTATTCATTCATTACTCCACGTATGTTTGCAACCAATAGTGCGCACGTATTCAAATAAATATTAATTTGCAATTAGTGGAAATATTTCAACAATAACAATTTTAATGAAAACAGTACTTAGTTTAAAATAACATTTGCAAACCTACAACAATGCAGAATGTAGGATGATATGCATGTTCATGCTCAAATTATATCATCGAACAAATAGAACTACATATTTCAATTTGCAGATAGCCATTGAATGGAGAATTAATTGTGTATACAACAGAATTACTAAATAGTTTTAGTGATTTATATCCAGATTGTTCAACGCATACTACAAAACTACCAAAAAATGCACAGAATATTTTTCTGTATGCCTCAAAACAAACAAAAATCCAATAATGCTAATGATGTCAATAGTTCATCATTTAGATTATTTTTTTCAGGATTATTATTTTGATTTTATTTTTCACTATTATTATTATTTTGTGATTTAACTACAAGTAAATTAGTAGAGAAATAAATCAACTATTTTATCTTTGTGCGTGTTTTTCAGTACATCATGTATGTAGAAGTTACATATATTGCAAACCAGAAACACTGAATTGAATTGCATGTCCGAATAAATGATATAAAGACCAGATGTTATACGAAAAACAAGCATTTTAATTAATATCTACTTCAAATCAAAAGAACGCAATTATGTAGGTACATTAATTTATATGAATACGCCCACATATGTAGCAAATATTAACATGAAAAACGTAATATAAAAAGAGTAACGTGAACTCGTTTAATAAAGTACAATATAAAATCGTGTGTTCCATATTTATTAAATTAAGAACATATACCTTTAATGAACTTATATTAAACATTCATCAAAACAATATGTATAATACCACCATTTATTAAATTTATGTATAAATTGAATATTGTTGAAAGAATAATTAAAATTTGTTGTTATAATAAATGAAATAATATTGTAATGCGAACTTTATTTATTACAGTTAGAAAAACTGTATTGTGAAGAAAAAATTTCAATTTACCACTTTAAAAAATCGTTTCTTGAAACGGAGCAACTCCAATGAAAAAAGTTGAGGCTCTAAGTTAGCACTGTGGTCCATTCAGCATTTTTTTACCATTCATTTATATACTTTTGGATACAAGACCAAGGCCGTTAGATTGATATCACATTATCATATTCTATAACAAATTCGGATTTGAAAGTACAACAGTGAATGAGAAATTTAAAATAATACAATACAAATCTACTGGTCTTTTAGACAGACTTCTACAGAATTTGCTCTACGTATCTGAAATACATATATTTCCTACCTTACCTTGTTTATATCAAGTTTTCCGCAATTACTTCTCATAGAAAAATACAAGACATTAATAACTTTACATATACAAATTATTAATGTAACAATATGAAACTTTTCATCTCGCGTAGCTACTGGCGATAGTGTACTACCCCGTTTGGAAAAGCAATTGAAAGATGAAGTCGCCCATGAAACTCAACCGAGCCCGAAGCAGGAATCGACCAAAGAATTGATACCAGAAATTCCTGCCCAACCAGCTTTAGCAGCCCAAGAAACTAGTACTGAAGAGGCACGAGTACCAATTCATCATCATGTTGTGGCAAATCATGAAGCAACTGAAGAAACTAAGACAACACCGAAGGACGAAGTACCGGCAAAGGTAAAATTAATTATAATATATAGTACAGATAAAAACTTGCCTAATATTACCATCACCTTAAAAGAATGGTCTAAACTGTTGTGAACATTCACTGCATATGTTGCAAAATTTGTTTACAATACATATATGTAATGTAACTGAGTATATGATGTGAAATTAAAATCCAAACCAGCAAACAAAATCATTCTCATAAATTAAACCATACAAAATTTTAATGAAGGTACAACAGTTTTTAGATTAACAGGAAAACCAATAGAGATTAAAAAATAGATGTGCATTGTAGATAAGTCAACCAGATGATCTGTATTCTGATTCTGAAATCAATATTTAAGAATATTCTTTTCTATAGGCTTTCCCAGGCGCTGCTCGACTTACTCTAGGCAAACACGAAAGTTTGGGGTCATCCGAAACTCCGGCACCACCTTTAGCTTTGCCCAGAAGCGAATTCACACCTAATGGTCATAGGAGATCCACAAATACAGGACATAAGAATGAAGTATATGTAAGAATAATATTTTTTTCGTTTAGACGTTTTGCGAGACGATTAAGGAAAGTAGAGTAATTTTCGTCCACGTTTTCTCTAAAAAATCCGAACCGATTTTGAAATTTCAAAAGTTCGAAAGACATCAATTGGTAACCACGCAGATTAGTTTTTGGTAAAGACAGACCTAGTCCGTTTCCTTGTAATTCAGATGTGAATTTTTTTTTGGAATGAAATTTTGCATATCAATAATGTTCATTGTCTAAAAACAGATCGCAAAATATTATAGGCCTACGGCAAGTGTTTTTTTGCAGCAACTTGTCATGATCTTATTAAAACCAGTCTTAAAAATACGACAACCATAAAACTTAGAATAAAAGCATTAAACAATTAATTGTAAGTGTGATAGGAAAATATTTGATATGACCACAAAAGTTTATTCATTAGTAATCTTTTTAAAAATAATATTAAAATTGTTGTTTTAGAATCATCAATGGTACAATTCTGGACAATATTCTCCCTTAGACATGGCTCAATATGTATTTTGGACGGGGGATGAAGCTGGTGTTGCTAAAGCCATACAAGAATTCATACAAAATCGATTGGTTAGTATTTGTAAATTTTAAATAAAAACGCAAAGAAAAAGTGTAATTGAGCCAAATCGTTAGATATTTTAATTTAATAACGTTATAGTTAAATAACAAATTAAAATATAAAAGTTTACAGCTGTAAAAAATGCTGTGAAGAGCAGCAGGTAGTGGACAGATGTGAACAGTCCCGACACGTTTTTTTCATTTTGACAATGTTTTTATCATTTTTCAGCAATTCAATTAAGCCTAAAAAATTCCTTTATTTTCAGATGTCACGAGAAGAAGCAATAAACTTTTTACGCGATATTAGAATTGGAATTGAATATCTTCAAAATCGTTATGACACTAAATCAGGACTTCTTCGTGATGTGACCAGAGATGCAGATACACCTAGTGACTTAACATTGAAGGAAGCAATTGTGGTATGTATAATCTGTTCTTGTAATATTTTCACATGTGATTATGTTATTTAATAATTATAATTTAATAATTACACTGTTCTATAAAATTTCTCTAAAAAAGAGAATGTTATGATATCTCATTAAGATTGTTTAAATTCTTCTATTAATAACTAGTTTGTTCTGAACATAAAAGCTATAAATTATTTTATACAGAGCCCGCACATAAAGCCAACCCAGCCTGCCTTAAACCCTATGTATACCAATCTACAAAATAAATTAAAAGAAGAGCATGATGATGACAAACCAGAAAATTCACTTAACATCATGAGAACTGGATATAAGAAATCAAAAGTAGACAAAATGAATAAACTTGATTATTTAGAAAAATCCGCTAATAACATCAAAGGTATGTTCTTTTCAAATCAAGTATTTTTATAATATGCAAATTCATATGTATCAAAAATTTCAGAAACTAATTTGGCTGACTATGAGGAGATTGCAGGTAGATTAAGACTGGCAGACTTTTTGTATACAGAATATTCATTAGAAGAAGTTATTTATCAATTAGCTAAGGTAAATCTAAACGTAAATTACATTAATTGTTATGATGGTAACACGTTGGTTAAAATGAATTGCAGGTGATGTTTACCGAATCACTAACACATGGCTCAGGTCATGCAGGCGAAGCTTTAGAAAGGCTAACAACATTTTTAGATTCTGAAGGAGCCCATGGACGTATACCAAAAACACTCCAGAAAAAAATTTTAGGTGATAATAATATACTATACGATAATATATATAAATCTATATTTACACAAGTATAATGTATGTGCATTGTGTATACTACATATAATCAAATTTAATTAAAATCACATTTAATTTTCTGTAGATTTGTTCATTAAGACTGTTGAATTAGATTATGAAATACATATTTTATATCATAATTGTTAATTATATATTATCAAATTTATAGATGTGTTGCTAGCAGCTTTATCTGATACACTGGTAGAACATCCAGAATTAATCAATGCTGCAAGAGACGAGCTCGGACATGACTTGAGCCAGGTATAAAAATAATTATTTTCAATAAAATATGTATCACTACCTTAAAATTATATATTTTCAGATTCAAACTAAGCATTTAAGTCCAAAAAATTAGGACAATACCTCTCATTACTATACCAACATCTTTCAAAAGCAAGAAATATAACATATGTGGTATATGTTAGTTAATTCTATATTTCTATATGTAATATTTAACATGTTTATAAATAATATTCTATTATAATTAGTAGTTCATATACCTTCCGTTCTAGACAAACATTGCTTTAAAATATTGTGAACAGGCAAATGTGAAGAAGCAGAGTAATTAAGAATTTAAGAATGGTATATAAAGTAGAGTTTTATAAAATAGTTTAGTTCATATTGTATATAACAAATTAAAGCATATGTTTATTTAAATTATCATATTGGTTCAATAAAACTGAAAAAGTAACCCTCAATGTTTCTCCTAAAAATTACCTTAGTCATCCAACTCCACTACAACAGGCAAATCTTCTTGGTCCTCGTCCAAAAGATCCTCAAAATTCCAAGTAAACTTTTCTGTAAAATCTTCCATCATTTTATCAACTCTTTTAATCAATACTGTTAGACCACTAGAATATATGTTTTTAAATAACTGTCTACTTTTAACATAAAGAAAATTGTTTCCATCCACTATATCAATTAAAAATTCATTTGGAACTTGCAGTATATGTGTATGCAATGTTTTTAGAAACTGGAGATACATAGAAGTGTGTAATTTCAATGCCAATTCAGAAGTGCATAATATGTTGAGTAACTTTTTCCAATGGTGAAATCCTTCCACACTATGGCCAATTAGAAATATAACAAAACTAAATTGTAATTCACCAATTACATCTGTTGGCCTGAAAAACAACATAAAAATGAATTTCAATGCCCAAACATATTATAGATGCTGAGCCAAATCATTAGACTCTTATAATGCAATAAATAAGATTATATAAAAATATATATAAGCAGCAAGTGCCGGTTTAACATTTATGCTCTACTTTGATGAAACGCTACCCCTAGGTTAAGCATGGTGTTGCTGTGTATAAATCTAATACACATATGTGTATATATAATTTAAAGCTTCTATCTCACACAAGCATCTTATTTGATTTGTATGTTGTAATATATCTTAACTTAATATAATTCATTAGATTGTTAATATATAATTTTAAAAGTTCTCATCTTCGACAAAAAGGAAAAAAGCAATAGCTAGCAAAAAAAATGTATATGTATATGAAATGCCAAAATTCATATTTATTACCTATCATAACTTCTAAGTAATAATTCTAGAGAATGTGTTGAATCCAAAAAATATTTAGTAATCTCTTCAGGTTTAGCATTTTCTGGACATCTAGGTGGTAAAGTTGATAATCTAGGTGCTGTTCCAGGTAAAGGATGCAAATTTGGTAAAAAACCTTCTTCGTCAGATATATCCCAATTAAGTTTTCTATGTGATCTAGTATTTTGAGCACCTTTGGGCCTATCATTATCATTACATGACTGAAGTTCTAAAGCTGACTTTATATAGCCACAACTAGGTGACAAGTTTATTGCTTGTTCTGATGTTAAGTTGTCCGTCAAGTCTTTCCACATATCATATATCTCAAAAGGATATGGACCTAAATACCTATCTAGTTCTAAAAGATTATTTTTTATACGATTAATTTCTTCATCAGATAAACTCTTGTCAGTGAGTTCTTCAAGTTCGTTATCCCAAAATTTAATAACCATTTCTTTAGATTTGAAATCATGCAGAAACCCCACTCGGTGGCCAGTATCTCCAGTTGATTCACTTACTGAACTATAGAATACATAATGTAAGCCTGGTGGAATCATTTTAATTCCTTTAAACTGATCGCCAGTATTCCAGGATTTCATGTCTATACCGAATTCAGTTCCTGAAGGGACATTGAAGAGAACCAGTGATGCTCCTTCAGTTAATAAATATTTAGCTAAATCTTGATTCATTTCAACTGCTTCCATTATGAATAAATTTGAGTTAAATAGAAATAAAACAAGTTATTTAGATAGAACTTTTCTGTGTGTATGTCGTTTTCATGTTAATGTTAACTATTTTAAGTTAATTTTGTTTACATGCGCTTCTTAACCTCAAATATTTGACATTTTAATATCATTGCGTCGTACTTGATTATACTTCACTTCGTAAAATATTTCAAAGAAATTTTAGCGGCAAATTTGAACAAACAGCGAAAGTCATAAAACTTAAAAAAAATGTAATAAGAAGTTTATTCTCTTAATCACGATGAAAATTTATTCATAAATCCAATCAAATAGAAGCAAAATTTTTATGACAGAACTAAATATATGTATTTACTAAAATTTTGAACTAAACCAAGCATTTTGAAAATTTATTATAAATTATTAACTCATAAGCTGCTGATAGGTAAAGTACCGTTAAATTATAAAAATAATATCAACTTTATTGTATATATTTTTCAAATCCTGCTTCATTTGCAATGAATAGGTTGCAGCTCAACGAAATCACGAGTCGGAAAATCGTAAATTGCAATACTTAAATATTTTAGGAATTAATTTTCAAGGGTGTTGTTCTTCTATCGCCAAAAATGTTTGGTTCCCCTTCCGGTGAACTTGATTATATGTTTGTATTACGAAAAATGTCAAATCAAAATATGTTTATTTGAATAAGATGAATGATACAGATCTATGAAGTATAAATAAGCTATTCTGCTGGAGGGGCTTCTTCCGCAGGTGGTTCTGCTGGAGCTTCCGGCTCTGGTTCCGGAGCAGGTTGTTCCGCAGGTGCTTCTTCTGGTTCCGTTATTATTGGAGTCGGCGTTGATCCACCTGCACCTGCTAGTTGTTCTTCTAATTCTTTTATTCTTGCATTGGCCTTTTCCAACTGTGCGACAAGATCTGCCTCCTCACTAAATCCACCTAGATTTCTTTTTATATACCCCACAGAGTCTTCCGGTTTTTCGGATTCTTCGTATAGCGCGACCAAGACCTAAAAAGTGAACGTTTAATAATAATATAAATAATTTATTTAGGTGCAAATTGAGTTCGATATATTTATTATTTGGTACTATTAAGCAAATTACCCATCTGAGTCCTTTTTATTATTCTTAATTCATATATTCAATATTTATATAATCTTATTTAAATATGAATATTTATAAACAAGGTAATGACGTATATGACTTCAATGATAAAAACACGCTATTTGTTTTGATAATTATGTTACCTTATCATCGTCAGAGTATAACTATAAATAGCCTAAAATGTGTCTTGGAACCAAACGAGCAAATCGTGTGCTACGTGGCTGTGTAATAATATATGTAATATTGTATATACTTAATGAGGTTTATTACTAAAATTGCAAATTAAATAGCAATTAATTGTGAGTGTCTTTGTAACTTAAAATGTTGGACATATGTAAGTAAATATGATTGGTTGACTTCGTACCTTAGTAAGGGCGTCCATTGCTCCAGTTCTTTCAAGGTATTTGCGATATTCATCGCGCTTGGCATCGATTGACATAGTTGTTAAAGAATATTGTTAAATAAAACTTATAATTTTGATAAAATGATGTTATTTATTATAAATTTAGGTATTTTTTTATTTAAAATGTCATGTTTATTTTTTTGACGTATTTTTTTAAAAATTGTTTTAGAATAACTGAATATTTTCAGTGCTTACTCGAATGACAAACTCAATGCGCTAAACACTTTTTATCTTTAGTAATGTGATATTTGTGGATAAAATTACAAATTATGTGATAACAGCGGCGAGTCAGCGCTCACAACCATAAACATAGATCATTTTTGCTATGAAAAGGCAATTTTGTTAAAAATATCTATTTTATTAAAACGCAACTTAAAATTTTTAAATGATTCATTTTTTGTCCTTTTTGTTTTTCTTTTTGTCATCGCCGTTGTTTTCTGCCTCTATTTTCTCTGTTTCCTCAGCAGATGGTTCCACTGTTGTTATTTGATTTGACGAACTTTCCTCCTCGCTGCCAGCAGGAGGTGGTGTGATTTCAGATGGTGTTGAACTCTGTCGTTTAGTTTCTTTTTGGGCGGCCTCTTGATCCACCTTTTGCTCTTCTTCAACAACCGGTTGCTCTGCTTCGGTTGTTGGTTGCTGCTCTACTTCGTTTGCTGGTTGTTGCTCTACTTCAGTAGCTTGTTGTTGCTCTACTTCAGTAGCTTGTTGTTGCTCTGCTTGAGGAGAAGCTGATTCACCTCCAACTACTTCTCCCGTTGTGGGTTCGACGTTTTCTTCGGGCGATGGTGCGACATTTTCTTCGGGCGATGGTGCGACATTTTCTTCGGCTACAGGTTCAACTTGATCTTTCTCAACAGATTCAGAAGCTACATTTTGCTGTAATTCCGAAGTCTTATTTTCCTCAGAATTTGGAACTTCTGATACTTCACTTTCAATTTTTGGCGGCTCATCTACAACATCAGCTTTTTGTTCACCTGCTGCATCGCCGCTTGTTTCAACTATATCTCCGGAAGCTAATTCTTGCTCTGAACCAGTATTTTCTAAATAGGAATAAGGTATATTTCAAAAATAATTAAGCTAAAAAAAATTTATTAGTAATTTTATCAACTACCTATTTTAAAAATATTGTTTAAATTGAATATTTTGATAAGTATAATCTAGTAAAATGTTAATTCATTTTAAATAATTTTAATAAATTTTACGTAAATGAAATTGATTGAATCGAAATTTAAATACTATGGATACAGGATTGGCAGAACAAACCATAACAGTTTATGCCAACCACAAATAAAGATCTAATACGACTCGTATAAAATTATAAAAGTTCATAATAGCTTCTAAAACAATAGATTTAGGACGAGTTTATTATTTAAATACATTCCAACTAAATCTATTTGATACTTGGCAATTGAGTATAAATTTTAGACTTGAGTATAAATATTCTGGGTACCTGGTGTCATGGGTATATTGACATCCGGCGGTAAGCCTGCTTCTTCTTGAAGTTTTATCAATTCCTGCTCTAATTCATTGACCCGATGCAGAGCACCTTCGAGTTCATCCAACAAGGTATTAGCATCATTATCGCGTTCCATTAAATTATTTTTGACAAATTCTACCGGATCATCCGGTTTGTTCTCAACTGAATACAAGGCAATCAGAGCTCGCGTTAAAGCTTCTACAACACCAGAGCGTTCTAAATATTTCCGAAATTCTGCCCTTTTCAATTCTATACCGCTACCCATTTTGTCATTTATTTGCATCAATTAATTTTGGTCTAATAATGTTTAACTGTATGTGGATTGCATATTTTCATAAATACGTTATAATTTATTGAGTGGCATAGTAAAAGTTAAAAATACATGATAAGCTTGGCATATATGGGAAGTAAAAATTTTATTATCTTAGTGTTTTTATAAATAAATCTATTTTTTATTGAACTTAAAATTTATTTAAACATATTTTGTACTTAACGCAAAATGTCAGATATAAAATATTGTTTTGTTTGTTATTATTATACAAATTATTCAAATTTATTAATTTATTAATTATACATAGTAGTATTCAGAAAATTATAAATAATTTCTTAACAAATAAATTAAAAATAAATATAATCTTAAGTATAATTATTTCCTTATTATTATCTCTAACAAATGTGAAATAAACGTATACACGATGTCCACAAACACTTTCTAGTACTACACATGGCTACTGAATATTGCAATAGCTGTTTGAAGCAAATGATAATTTTAAATATTTATTAATATAACCATAGTGCAAAAAATTATCGACATGGGAAGCCTTGTACTATATTCTGAGAATCCCATCTTCAAGTAAAGGATTCGGATAAGAAATCGGAAAGATCTAACAGCTTCAGTCAAAGCATAGATTATATTTCTCCGATTATTTATATTACAGAATATTTATGCGGCATTAGCATTTATAAACAAGAAAATAGAATAAATATTTCGCAATAAAATATTTAAATTGTGTTTTCTCTCAGATGATCTTGCATTACCGCATATAGGTAGACATGTATTAAAATTATATGAAGATCTTTAGACCATAGCGTAATGTATAATATTAGTTGATGTTATAAACTAAAGTTAATCACAATGAATTGATTACTACGATTTATTATGATGTAAAATAAACCTACAATGTAATAACTATTTCAAATGTTGTGTGAAAAGAAAGTTGTTTGAATATTAAGCGAATGGCAGTTGTTTAAAATTAAAATAAATTACAGGCTACTTTAAAATTTAGTTTCGAATCGCAATTTAGTAAAATTAAATAAGTAACTGTATATAGAATTATAAAAAAATATTTTGTTAGTAATTTTTAAAAGAGTCAATTATCCGATTTATTAAATTTTAAAAGATTAGACCACAACTAATTAATCATACAAGAGAATAGTTTAAATTGGTGAAAAATTTCATTGACAGTTTAAATATTGTAATCAAAAACAACTTCTACAAAATGACGCAATAATCGCATTCTAATATGAAATCTAAAATGTCTAATTATTATGTGGATTATACTAAACTTAAAATGAAATCTTAACAAAACTATGAGTTTAAGTTATTGTACCAATAAGTTTACGGTTTGAATATAATATTTACAAACTTATTTCTTTTTCTAATTATCTAAAAATTAATAATAACTGTATATTAAAGTGAACCAATTTTGGTCATAACCTAACAATTACAATGGTACTCCGCTTTACGAGCTTAATTTGCTCCGTACAAATTTAATTTTTAACAAGCAATTTTTTCGTTATAAATATATTGAAGTCCTATTAATTCTTTCCAGCACCGGGTTTTATCAATAATAAAAATTAATGAAACTTTTCTAAGATCAAATACATATTCTGCAAACACATTTTTTTTTTTTTTTTTTTTTTTATTTATTCATGAGCAAGCCGTAATTAATAATAATAGATATTATTTCAGGCTCTTGTCAAGTGTGTCACAGCACATTAATAAATAGAAAATGACTAAAACATTAATGAATTGAACATTTTAACATTAAAATAATTTACTTCAAATATAGTTAAAAGCGACATACGAAAATCCTTATTACAATTGATTTTAGATGAACCTGTTTCATTCGCACCCCCATAAGTTTATGTTACGCCTCTCACGCATGTATCTCGAATCATCTTGTATGACGAAGCAACAAATCGCTCCTAAATTTTGCTCGTATGACGAAGTAAACGAGCCGCTTATGTGGCGGCACGTATCTCAAAAACTCGTATGACGAGTCGCTCGTAAGGCGGGGTACCAATGTATTGTTATATAAAATACTAAAATTTCATTTTACTAAATGCAATCGGCAAGTTCATAATAGTTAACTCTATATTTACTCATGTTTTTCTTATTAAAATTGCCCTAACTAATACTTAAATCACAGTAAGCAACCGATTTTATGTTATTATGAACATATGGCCGGTTCCACGCAAACATTCCACCGGTTTCTAAGGTATCCGGATTCGCACACGCATGACGGCACGCACAGATCCGGGCAATACCGAAATTCCGGAGGTCCGCTCAAAGAGTCGGAACAACTATCAGGACAAGACGGCCCACAGTCGCTCCACCGTTCATTGGCGCCCCAGCAGATGGCGTCTGGACCCTCTTTTACTCGGTGTTCCAGGACTAAGGGGTCGCATACTGTAAAATCAAAAGGATTGATGATTGATAGAGCAAAATTGACCATCATCCAAAGGAACTGAAGTCTTTACAACACCACATATAATATAAGACTAAAAAGAAAGCTAATCTAACATTTCAAGGGGCACAACTAGTGTAACCGCCTAAAAAAAGGTGATTTTTGGGAATTTATATTAAAAAACGACTTTATCAATCATTTTAAAATTTTAGGAATATATTTATACATGTTTTAAGTATACATTATTAAATTTTTGAAGAAAAAAATTAAATAGTTTTTAAGTTATGGTCGATCTCCAACGGCGCGACAAAAAAAGGCCCTTCACTGCTGCAGTGATTCCGGCCTTCTACGTGGATGAAATTTAAAATTTTTTTTTGTTAAACTAGATAAAATTGTCTGTAAAATGAACTACGATAAAGAAAAAAATCAAAAATTGACAAAATAACGGCGTTTTTTTAAAAAAAGTCGAATTTTACCCAAAATTTTGGTCGTTTTTGGACTGCCATAATTCGAATTTTGATCCGATCAAAAAATCGATAGTTCATTTTACGGAGAACTATATATAGAATATGTAAAAAAAATTGATAGTGATCGGATCATTTGTTTTTGAGTAATCGCTGCAGCAAATTAGGAAAATGCTGGTTCAAGAAAAACGCGTTTAAAGATTAAATGATCGTTATACTATATACTATATATACACTTTGAATGGCTGTAACTCAAAAACTATTTAAGATATTGATTTAAAATTTTGGTATGTTATTTTTAAAGGTATAACCTATCAAAATATGGAAAAATTAAAAATTCGGTTTTTTGAAAATTTCACACTAGTTGTGCCCCTTAATCAATAATAAGTTGTTCTAGCATGATATGTGTATGTATGTATGTGTATAGTCTGTGTAATGTATTTTGTTTATAATTGTATGTATATATTTGAGTTTCTTTTTTTCTTTATAATACCAAAATTTAATTAATATATAATTTAGTACATTAATAAAAGGCCAACCACTGGGTTTTCCTTTTAAAATTCTGTGTTATTTGTCAAACTAATTACTCAATGTCTTTCTATTTAGACAGATTGCAAATCATAAAAAAAAAAATATTTGTTATCTCTTTTCAGATTTTCATATTGTTATATTGGCCATGAAGAAACGAACATGGGATTGAACTATTTTACCAAAATATTCACATACAGACAAATTGTAATCGAAAATAAAACTTAGCCAAATCTGTATGATGATATGGGTTAACTCACTTAAAAAAAGTCAAAAACTTATATATTTTAATAAATATAGGTATGTAAATTACATTTTATACCATGTTTTTTTACCCGTAGGTATAGTATCCATCATTGAATATGATTTTGCAAACAATAATTCATTCTGAATTAATATAAATAAGTTCATAACTGTGTGACAAAAAAAGAGAAAAGAAAAATTTTCTTCTCAAAAAAACACATAGCAATGTTTATAATTACAAAACAAAAAAAACAGAACAAAATATTTATTCGCTCTGAATGAAAATCTGTGTCGAGCCGAGTATCATTTGCCGCTATGGGTCGATCAGTATATAGTTTGGCATGGAGTGATTGCCATACCAAACTACGTCTCCAGTATATTATTAATTGGCCGAGAACCGCGATGTTGGTATTAGGATGATCCCCACATTTTTGATAAAAATTTTCGGTGAGCTTTTTTATAAAGTCGAGTATTGTCGGTACGTCAGTCTGTTTATGTATGTATTTTGTAGAGTAGTAATCTAACTAACCTTATTTCTGGAATTTACGGGTGTGATATGAAGTGTAATAAATAATTCTTTAGCCGTATCCAATTGTATTTAATGAGATAATCTTACTGGTTATCAGAATGCACATCAAACCATCACCAGAAATCAGTATTATGCTTTGTTTTATCATTATCAATTAAATTTCACATTATGATAAAAAAGAGAAAGGTTCCTGGTTTGAATTCTTCTTTTATTTATTATCTAAACGTATAAATATTGTTTGCATTCCAAACCAAAATATAAATGTCATCCGCTTACTGCATAGAGATTTGAATAGCATTTGTTAATCATGAATCTATAATAGAAGGTTGCAAGCAATTAGCACTGCGAAAATGCTGCTGGTTGATGCAGTGTTTCTTAACGCTATGAAGCAATAATATATACTGGTTACTATATGTATTCTAATTGTAATAAATTCCAGAGTATATTTTTATATGTTTATAACCCTGTATTAAACCCCATAATAGTAATGGATTATTTTTTAAATCGTATTATGAAATGAAGATGATGGAAAAATTAAAAGAAAGTTCTTAAGTTTCATAAAATCATAATTATTTTTACACGAGTTTGGTAATTATAAAAATAGTGAAAATTGTATAAAAAATTAAAAAAGTAATTAATTATAACTTCCAAAAGATTGATAAACTTTTAAAATATATCTAGAACAATTTGAAAATGTAGAATAAATATTATAAATTAAATGTTAACTCAAAAGTAACGACTTAGCCAATAGTAACATAAGACAACGTTGGCATGATTTTTAAAATTTGAAAGATTCCAACGATTTTATTTC